TACGTGACGGTGGTCTTTTTCAACCACTGGGTGAGCTTTGTGACGACTCACCACCGCCCCTTCAATCTTTAATGAAGAAATCAGCTGTAAATTTTTGTACATGGCTAAAGCTTGTCCATGTATAAGCAATTTGCTCAAGTGTTCGAGCTATCTAATCTCTGACCATTGCTGTCCCGTTGCTTAACTTCTGAAACGTAAAACATCACTTCTGTTTACAACCAAGGAGATGGTATGGCCTCTGTTGTTTCGGCAACAGCACCTAGAGACGTAACCGGTAGACCGAAGTACGAATCCATCAAATAAGCCTAGACTTTGTTCTTACTCACTGGGACACACTGTGGTAATTCTGGTATGAACAGAGTTTAGTCTGAACATACCTGGACAAGGAAGGGAAATTTTAATGGTATCACTTGTGTATAATACTTTTCATCCATCATCATTCAACCCAGCACACTTCTCATTTATCCGACACATTCATAAAAAAAAACATACGACACACTCATTTAGGTATACGGGTGGAGTGAGGCCCGCATACCTCTACATTCATCCCGTATCATATACAATTGACACCAACTCATTTCCAACGCTTAGTCCCACAGTCATTCCTCTGTCAGGTATCTGTTGTCATTCGGCAACAGCACCGAAATTATCCCGAAATATTTACCTTACATCAGTCCTTTAACCGCCACTTACTCTTCCCGCAAATTTGGCTTTAAACCACAGCCACTACGTGGATCCCGAAGGCAACTGGCCACCCGTAGTACCAGATTATGTGGTTCTCTGGTTAGACCCCATGTCAAATCATACCAAGGACAAGCCGAAGAGTGAAGTAACATCACCAGTTTATAGTCCCGGCAGACTAGAGGTACTGGTAGCACCTCTATACCCCCGGATTGCAATACACCAAAATGGGATCTATCATCAAGGAAACATGCCCGGGGCAGTTTGTATATCTGTTAATTTCATTGCGTTGTGTATCTTTTTGTATGTTTTATTTCGTTTCGTTGTTGTTGTTTCTTTTGCTTTGCTATTGGTAAAGTAATGATAGAGTGCAAAGTAAATTTATAAAGTAAACTAATTTGAACAGCTGACTATTTTTTTAAAAAATGCTATTTGGGGACTTACTTGTCAAAAATGTGAAAAAGTGTATTTTAAAGTGTATTTTTAAAAATGTTCTAATTTTCAAAAAATAAATAAAACTCTGTGACTTTTAATATACATAAATAACAACATATTTTTGGAAAGCACACCAATAATTGCAATATTTTCCATTAATTATTGGTTCATTTTTGTAAACAAATTTTGACAGTTGAGTATTTCGAACAAAAACCAATTGCCTGTGGTTTTTGTAGACGTTTGTTGTACAACAACTCGTATCGCTACTTTATAAATTTACTTTGATAGAGTCGAGAAAATGAAATAAATTGAAATTGTATAAAATTAATAAATTGTTTAATATTTACACTATGGTGAAGGGTATACAAGATTCGGCAAAGGCGAATATAGACTTCTTACTTGTTACAAAATAAAGTTGTAACATTTATGTGCAATATACGCATATACATATATAAGTTAAGTTGTTTAAAAGGTTGCATCGTGTATGCCTTGCATAAAGAAGTTAAAATAATTTCTGGAGGCGATCCTATAAGATTCATATCGAAGTTTGTCTTACAAACTATAAAAATGAAATTAATTGGGAATAATGTGCCTAGGTTTCCTAATCTTTTTTAATTTGTGCAATTTTTTAGTATTCTTTTTAATATTTTATATAATGTTTTATTTTGGCGATGGTTGAACCCACAAATGTAAATTATTTTAACTTTTTGAAAGTAGAGAAACAATTGTTTTGAGGAATTTTATACAAAAATTGTTAATTATATTTAACAAGTAAAAAGTTATAGCACTTTTAACGAAATTTTTAAGCGCTTTTAAAATAATAAGGTTGTCACAGTTTTTAAAATTTAAGTGAAAAATGTCAGTTCCAACTCTCGTGGACCTTCCTTTAAGTGTTTATAAAATTTTGTCCAAATCGGTGACTATGGGAATAAACTTTTAAATTAAAAATATACTACAGTACTTTTCGCTTATAGTCCATTCCGCTAAAAGGCCAAAAACGGATGTAAGTCAAAACAATCCTATTCACTTGCAGCTTTTTTCGAATTTCATACAAATTATTTGTTTTTAAGTCCACTTCGCCTATAGGCCATTTTCGTTTAAAGGCCAAATTTTCTTTGTATGCATAACTAATATTGTATATAAAAAATTTTCGTATAGTCCACACTTTTTATAAACAAACTGGCAATCTTATTGTTTGAAAAAATATAATCATTTATTGTAAAATCTTTAAAAAAGAAATAATCGAAGATTACAGAATTCTTTTAAATGTTCAACAACTCGTAATTTATATTTCATATAGAAACTGATATCTATCTTGTGTTTGATTTAGTCATCCAAAGACTTATGCCCGAATTCAGAAAGAAGAAAAGAAAACAATTTTAAAATTTTGTGGGAAAACTACTCAGTTTTTGTTAGTGTTTTTCATATAAAATTTTAAATATTTAGATTCTACTTTCTAATCCTTTAAATGGATCTCATACTTTAATAAGGAATTTAATTTTATTAATTTTGAATGTAAATATCTTGTAAACTAAATATTGGATGATTACAAAATTATGGAATTTTAAAGACCATATTCTTTCTATTAATTATGTGAAAAAAGAGAGCGAATTTTTTTGTTCCTTCTAAAGACATTTAATTTTTTTCTTTACCAATAATAAAATAAGGACTTTTTTATGCATCACTTGAATAAGGAATTTTTATTTTTAAAGAAACTATGCGGAATCTGACAATTTAAATCGATTAATGTTATAATGCCATAACAATTGAACAGCTATATTTGATATTTCAAAAAATGCATTTACTCCACTTTATTTACAAAATTGTACGAGGACATGAACGAATTTGAAAAATATCTTCACATTTTTTAGCAATTCTCTACTCGTTGTTTGCTTTAAATCTTCCTAAAGTAAATGTATACAATTGGCTGTTCACTTCTTAGTTATTCCTGCTATTTAACGGCACTTAGTCCACTGGATTTTAAAGTTATTCTTTCTCCTTTTTCAGAAGTTTTAAAAGCTTTCTCATGACCAATTTTTTTTTTTATTTAAAATACAATTGTTTAATATTTACGATATTATAAGTTTTATCGATGTAAATTACCAGATTCCGCCTAGTTTCTATAAAATATAATAATTCATTATTCAAGTGACGCATGATCAAGGTTTGCGTAGAATTACGGATATATGAGCAAAATCAAAAATTTTTAGGAATTGAATAACATTTTTTTCGAAATTGTTTTTCTTTTAGCAAGAACCATATTTGGTGGTTGATTGGGATAATAATTACACATGATAAATATGAAAACGTTAATAATTTTGATTAACGCGCGCAAAAGTTATAGCGGTTTAAAATAAAAAAAAAACATTTAATTCGTTAAAAATACGGGTTAAGCAATTTTCAAATAAAAATACTACCCATTCGTAAACATTTATAATGACTATCAGCGAATGTTGGAATAGTTATCGCAAATTTCATATTTCAGAAAATACACTGATAATTAAAAAAAAAAATATTTTTTTTTGCAATTTATTTCCAAACACAAAATTTAGCAAAAAAAATTCTTATAATCATCTCTAGTTTTTTCAACGCATTACAAAATGAACTAAGAATATCTCAGTCGGTTTGAATATCGAATCAAAGTACAATCTTTAATAATTTTTTTTTGTTACAAAAATGTTTTTGCCGGATTTAAAAACATAATTTTAATTATCTGTCGTTATTATGTATGAATTCGTGGTGAATGTGTAAAAGTTGCTAAAAATGATGCTATATATGTGAATTTATAAAATCCGTATTTAGGTCGTAAAATGTTATATCCATAAAATATTTTAATGCGCACCGGATTTTGGCATAATGCAAAAAGAAAGCTTTCATTTGACACTAATATTTACGCAAATCATATGGCAAAGCAAAATGTCTTTTTAGATAAACACTGCTGGACCGCTACAAATGAAGAAAATTTAATTTTCTTTCGCAACATCAATTTAATCCATCAATATATGAAATTTGCTCCAAATAATTTACAAAATATTTGCATTAAGTCTTTAGGTAAAAATACACCGAAAGAGAACTTTAAATTTTGCAAAAATTTTAAAATTATCATAAAAAGTTCGCATTTATCAGTTTTTTAATGCACATTTGACTTGGAGGTGTTAAATATATGTATTGAGATTTAATTTACGCGGTATTACAACTGCATTCGTAAGTAACTATGAATTTCACATTCGAACATTTTTAAAAAATTTACGCCTATTCTTGGCAAGTTTGTAAAGGCCTGAGATCTCTGGCATCAACAAACTAGAACTTAAATTGCGTAAAATTACTACGCCTATTAAATACCATTGCTTAAATTTAATTTGATTAATGCGCGCACATGGACTATTAAAAACACCATGAGTATATTTTAAAAATTATTTATTCTTCATGAAGAAATTTTTATGTTGAATTTTACTTTAATTCCGATGTATTTAAGCAATTTACTGATGAAAAACAGAATTTCTAAAATAGGCTTCATATGGGAGTTAGGGTCAAATATGGGCCGATCCTTAAGAAATTTTTATCTAAAGGTTAGTTATGCTGATTTTCATCACGATACTAATGGTTCTAAGTCAATTTTTGGACGTTTAATCTATTTTTTAAAGGCAGGGTTTGTATGGGGCCTAGAGCCAAACGTCGACCATTGCAAAAATCGGCATTCTCATTTAAGTCTTAATCGACTCAGAATTCTCAGTAATAAATTGTAAATTGGTAAATAAATAAATAAGTTTGATAAATTGTACCGAAATGTATCAAAACTTTTTCTTATTTTAAAATATTAACGAAATTCAGTTTCATCGATTCTTAACTGCCTGTTTTTCATATATTATTATTTTTTCATTTAGGTTACATATTGCTTGTTTAAATATCCTCAAAAAAAGGCACGTTTAAGACATTTAGAGGATCATGAGGCTACTCAAATCAAACTATGTTGGCCAAAGGCAATACAAGTTTTTGACTTATATCGACCAGAAGATCTCCCCGAATTTAACTCATACAAGTTAGAATCAATATCATCGGATATGGAGCAACTTTTATTAAAAATTGTATCACTGATGCCAAAGGAGCTTGATCCTTCAAAGTCAATACATTATGTAACAATGTTTATTGAAGGACGTTGTGAATCACCAACTTTGGATGCAAATGCTTTTAAGTTGCCATATAAAGTCTTAAGCTTATATTATTTGCTGGCAGATTTTTATTTCAAAAACAGAGATTTCATAAAGGCAATTAAATTTTACACTCTTGATTTGGCAGTTAATCCTACCAGGTTTGACTCATGGGCTGGCATGGCTTTGTCTAAAGCAAGTAAAATAGAAACAAAACTGAATGGACTGGATCCTATAAGGTAATGTAACCCATATTTTATATTTAAAAAGTCTACCTGTACTAAGATTCTTTCGCACATTCACTTCTAGTCGTAATTTTATCTATTACTTATGTATATAATTTTATTTATTTGGGTTCAACATTATGATTGTAAGTTATTTATTTTCAATATAGAGTAGAGTGATTCAAGCTTATATAAAGGAAAAAAAATTGTCTTACAGGCCGTCAACCCCATAGAATTGTTCTTTGGGTTGTAAAACTATTTTATCGATTACTTATGCATATAATTTTATTTATTTGGGTTCAACATCATGTTGTAAGTTATTGATTGTCAATGTAGAGTAGAGTGATTCAAGAATGGGATTACTAAAGATGTCTAACGAATTTCATACCTCTATGTTTTTATAAAGTTCCCAAAGTTTTTCATAAATATTTGAGCAATAAATCACACATATTGATTGTTGCCTTTTTTAGTTTTATTTACAATCAAAAAAAAACATTTTTGAGTCGATGGAATAAACATTCAAATTGATTAGAATGAATTGAGCAATGAGCAAAACATACAAATTTGATTTTTTTAAAAACAAATTTGATTATTTTTGTTGAAACAATTTTGAACATTTGAATAAAAATACAATAAATTTTATGGTGTGAATATTTTTTAATCACCCATTGCAGTTCTCTGGTATTTACCTAACTGTTTTACAGAGGATTCTAATTATATTAAAACCTTTTTAACATTATTTAAAATCTTTAAACGTTTTCTGAATCTGAATCAAAATATACTTTAGTGGTTCAATTATAAGTAGGCCAATAAATAGAATAACATACGAAGGCTCAGAATAGCCTTAATTGGTTTTAAGCCTTTCTAAAAGAATTTAGTTCTCACACGAATACATCATTTTATTACGATGCAGTTTTCGTTTAAAAATGTCTAAAATAAAATAAGCTTTTTCTAAAAAAACTAAAATAAAATAATTTTACAAAAACATTAAAAATATTTTTTGAAAAACAACATAAATATTATATGCAATGTGTCAAGAAATTAAAAGGTTTGTCATGCACAGAGTTGGGGGTAGTGCACTAAATTTGCAGTTTCCACTAAATGTTAGTGATAGTGCAAAATTTTTCACTATCACTAATATATATTTAGTGGTGAGTTGAAAAATTACAGCCTCACTAAGCAATAGTGGTAGTGGTACAAGAAAGTCTTTCACTAAAATTAATTTAGTGATAGTGAAAACCCTTTTTTTTACAGCTTAGTGCAAATTTTTTTTCTCCACTAACAGGATAGTGGAAAAATATAATTATTCACTAATGTTAATGGAACTCAAAAAAAAAAAAAAAATTTATGAAAAAATATATTTTGAAAAACAACATAAAAATTGTACGCAAAGTGACAAGAAATTAAAAGGTTTGTCATTCAAATTGCATCCGGGATCAAGGGGCCACATTTTATTTCGTATTTTGGTATTATTTTCGTTGTTTTTTAAGGACTTTATCTATCGTATATTTTTGACATTTCTTTCATTTATTACGAACGAATTCATTTTCTAAAAACCATAAATATGTATGTATGTATGTGATTTTTCTTTAATACAATAAAAAATAATAAAATAGAAATATTTTGAACATACATATGTACATATGTATTTTCAATTTGTTTGGATTATTTTTACAAACACTATTTTTTGAGATTTTAGTGCATATTAAAGCATTCATGTAGTGACTGTTAAACATTTGCACTATTTTATTGTATTGCAAAATTTTCACTACCACTAATGGTTAGTGGTAGTGGAAAAATTTTCACTACCACTATTTTTTTTAGTGGTAGTTAAAATATGTTTCACTACCACTAATTTTTTTAATGGTAGTTAAAATATGTTTCACTACTGTTTAGACGGGTTAGGGGGTATGTGTAATAAGGGGTAAAATACAACTTGTAATAAATAACAACACTTGGGTAATTTATTTTAAAACGTTATAAAACGTATACATATATATATATATTTATTTATAAATTTAGGGTTAGGATTTCAGTTTTAGGGTTTAATTCACAGTTTGTATATTTCAATTTAGAGTAGGTTTTATTTTAGTCTTTTAACTATTTATTTTAGCCTTAAGTTTTAAATAGATTTTATTCTTTTAACTATTTATTTTAACTTTATGTTTTAAATAGTATTAAGTTTTAATTAGGTTTAGGTTTGAAATAGTTTTTTAGATTTTTAAGTAAGTTTTATGATTATTTGTTTTAGATTTGTTAACTTATTTATTAAGATTTAGTTTTAAGTTTAGGTTTAAGGGTTGATATTGGTGCTTTTGGGTTTTGGCTTTCACACTGTATATAGGTTGTTTGTGTAACTTCTTCTCCTCTTTTTTTCTATCAATCGCAGTTGAAGTTGGCTGCAGTTCAATTCACCAGTGATGGGATGCTGAGGGTAAAGTGTTGGGTAAAATGGGTACTATTTGTTCACCGTGTGAACATCCTCCCCCCCATGACAGACCTGGAATGAAATAGACTTTAGTACGGGGTATATGTGCGGGTAATGTGTGTGGTTGTGGAGACATGTAAAGCAAAATACTTAAGGTATTCCTTTTGGAAATCCAGCATATGCTACATTTGGGTTTAGGGTAGTATCTTCTATCCGAATCCATTTCGATTCCCTTTTTTACTGCATGGGCAGGATCATTTTCTGTGTATGAGTGGGTTAGTGTGAATGTTAGTTAGGGTTAATAATGGGTGGGTAAATAATTCAGTACAAGAATTGGTGGGGTTAATGAAATAATTGGGTTGTGTTTTGATTATTGGCTTTCTTGGGTTTGACAACTTAATCATCCGATTCGATTACTCTTTTAGAGTATTTAATTTTATAGAGTAGGATCAGTATAAATTATCAATTAAACTATTGTCGTTCTAAGTTTCTCTAAAATCAACTCGAACAATTGTCATTATTCGATTGGGTTTGACAATAGTATAATTGTGAAAAATTGCAAGTTGTTGAAGATCTATCATTTCTAAATTGGGTGTGTTTAATGTGACCATGATCAACATATTTTTGATGTGCGGTATGTATATCTCTTTTCAATGTTTGATTATCTTTAATATACTTCGCATTCTTTAATTTTGTTCTTAAATGTACATTTTTAGTGTTTTTTAATTCTATATTATGGGTACGAAATGGAAGATTTACTTTATTACGCACATCGGGTATATTTTGCACTTTATTTGTGAAATTACTTTCACATTTAGATTCTTCAACAAATTTATTGGGTTTTTGGGTTATGCAATTATTCAGGGTTACTGAGCTGAAATGTGATAATGCTCTTTGTGTTGTGGGTTGGGTTCGAGCTTGGTGAGACTCTTCAATCGGTCCAGTCAAGATCCAACCAAATTGGGTTTCTTGAGCTAAAAGTGTATTTAGAACATTGTTCTCAATACCAGATTTTATAATCTTTGGGTAAAAATCACTTCCTATTATAAGGTCGATAGGTCTACTTTCGTAAAACCTTGGGTCTGCTAACTCATCATTGTGTAAATTTTCAATAATACTAGGGTTTATATTTTGGGTGGGTATATTTTGAGTTAGCGTTTTGACCACTATCGATTGGATTTTTAAACTAAAATCTTTTTGGGTATTGGACCTCAGAGTAACTTCACACATTTGGTTTGAACGAGCTGATACAACTTCGTTCAAACCTGATATTTCAGCTGATATGGGTAGTATGGGTAAACGTAATCTACGTCTAAACTGATCCGAAATAAATGAGTAATCAGAAGTTGGGTCTATTAGCGCTCGCGCTGGAAATAATCTTCCTTGAGCTTCAATCTGTATAACAGCGGTTGCTAATAGCTTCGTTCTGTCATCTAAAACAGGTTTATTTGATCGGGTTAGGGTGGAGAAAGATTGTAGCACATTTGGAGGGTTTTCATCAAATGTTGTGTTCGGGTTTATATTCGGGTTGTGTAAAAGGGTATTATGTGGACCACCACAATATCTACACGTAAATGTGCTTGCACAATTTTCAATTTTATGGCCAATAGCTAAGCAATTGTAACAGAAGGCATTTTCTTTCACAAAATCAATCCTTTCATTTAATCCTAAGGAGTTAAATGATGAACATTCCTTAAGAGCGTGATCACTGTCACAGAGAACACATATTCTTTTATGTGTTTTTGGGTAATTTTGGGTAGGGTTTAAGAATTCTTGTTCACATTGATCATTTTCTGGGTAGTTGTCATTTTCAAAATTGACCATTGTGTGAAGTGTATTGCCTTTTCTGTTAACATAGTTCTTGTTTTCTTGGACATGTTTGGGTTTTGGGTGGGTGTAAGGGTTTGAATCTGGAACATCATCAACCGATATTAGTTCCTTAAATGTATTTGTTAGAAACAAATCTAGATCTGTCCAAGAAGGCATTTCAGCACAATCATGAAGAGTTTTTTCAAATTCTCTTCGGGTTTCCCGGGGTAATTTTGTTGAACAGATATAAACAAAGATCGGATCCCAATTGTCCGTGTCAATCTCTAACGAATTTAAATTCGCAATACAACAGTTAATCCTTCTCTGTAGTTGTCTTATAGAAAAACTATGCATGGTGTTTACATAGGGTAAATTAAATAGGGTTTTGAGTTCTGCATTAATCTGCATTCTTCTGTTCTCATATTGAGAAACTAAATTATTCCATGCAATAAGAAAGCCGTCATTTGTCAAAGGTGCGTTATCAACAATTTCTTTGGCTTCACCGCTGGTTTTTTGTTTTAAATAAAAAAGTTTTTCAACGGCACTTAAATGTGTATTGTTAATATATATTGCTTTAAAAAGGTCTCTGAAAGAGGCCCAAAGCTTAAAATCGCCGCAAACGGTAGGTATATCGCAAGGAGCTAAGTTTATTGAAACAGAATTGTTGGGTTGTGGGGGTTCGGGTAAAGTGGGTTGGGTTTCATTGGCCTTAGTAGTTTTCTCAATAGATTCATCTATTGAAATCATACAGCTTCTGTAAAAGTTTTTAGCTGATCTA